GTGTATTCTCCTCCTCCGTCTGACTGGAAGCTTTTCAGCTGTGCTCCCGACTCTCGTTCTGCTACTGGTAGCCAGGCGGCGAACGCTGCGAGTGCCATGTCGCGGCTTGGTAGGTTTAGATGCCAGACATATCGAGTGGCGGCGTCGATGAAGGTAATCGTATAGTTGTAGGTGACTTGTCATGGTTCACGATTGTAGAGGATGTCGCTGTACACCTTCTCGAGTGGTGCGTACGCCGGTGCGCTCGGGTTGTGATGAGGAGCGAACGGTCGATGTGGTAAGTCAGCTTCGGGGCAGGTAAGACAAGTCCCTCGTGCCTTTTGAAGTTCTCTGCCGTCGGGTAGTAGTAGGGAGTCTTTGTCGAGAACTCCTCCTCTTATCGTGTTGTTTAAGACTGTGTTGCTTGGATGTCCCAATCGTGCGTGCCAGGTTTCTTCGGAGGCGCGATGTCCGGGTGATCGTCGATACGTGTCGGAGTTGGAGTAGAAGCTGGCGACGAAGTTTGCGCTTCTGTGGGCTTCTCGTGGAGTTGGTTTCAACTGCTGTGCGGGTGTTGGTGGTTCTTCGTCGACGAGGGCTGGTGTCGTTGTTCCTGCTGCTGCTGCCGATGTTGTCTCTGCTGCTGCCGATGATGTCTCTGCTGCTGTCGTTGTTGTTTCTGCTGCTGCCGATGATGTCTCTGCTGCTGCCGACGATGTCTCTGCTACTTTCGATGTTGTCTCTACTGCTGTCGAGTGTTGTATTGTTGCTAATGCGCGTGTTCGTTCTGCTTCAAGGATAGTATGGGAGTACCAGAAGCCTTCCGGGCTGAAGTCTGGATCAAGATCTGGAGGGTGCGTCCAGTCCGTGAAGTTAACAATAGCGTCGCTGACTGCGGTGCCCAGGTCCGGGACGAAATCCAGGACGAAGACGTTGTTCTTCAGAACTGCCTTCCCGATGTAAAGGCTGCCTTTCCCGTGATATGATTTAAATTCCTGGGTGGTGCTGTCGGCTTCTAGGTGGATGCCCTTCGCCATCAACTGGCTGACGCTCAGTAAGTTGTAGCCGAGTCCTTCTGCTATTAGTACCTTTGACATGTGTAGTATAACATTAGTCTCCCTGGACTGAAGCTGTACCACTCCTTGTCGTCGAGTGCGCAGGTTCTGATTGTTGGCAACTGTGATGACGACCTCTCGTTGAAGTCGATGTTCGCGTTGGACGAAGCGTCCCGAAGAGCACATGTGTTGTCCGCAGCAACTGTCCAAGAACCAAGTATCTTTCCCGGATGGTTCACTTTGAGCAATGGCGGCGTACGTCGGATTCGGTTGAAGAGACTCGCGGCGAGGCGTGCTATTGTCAAGTTGTTCTTCGGGTGAGTAGTACGGTGGTGACTCGGTTGTGCAGGAGTCGGTTATCTTTACCATGCAGTTGACGATATTCCTTGGTTTTTGCGCAGGTTGTCCTGTTGGAGTCGTTGAAGCTTGGACTGAAGTTGTTGGGGCTGCTTGCGTCGAGGTGACTTGACCGCTCGAAGGTCGGGGTTGTCGCTGTGGTGCTGTCGATTGATGACGATACGGGCAGTGAGTGCGAGGATGTCCTGAAGTCTTGCAGATATGGCAAAAAGGAGGTACTGGCTTTGGTTGTTGTTGCTGTCGAGTGTTGCTATTGTTGTAGCGTCGCTGGGTGTGAAAGGCGAATTCTGGTACTGATGCCTTTTTCTTATGTCGTTCTTCTTGCAGGTCCATATCCTGCTGCTCGGCGTGGATTTCGGCGCAGAGTGCCGCTTCGGAGATTCTTCTGTGTGCTCGTAATATGGCGCGAGTGGAGCGCCAGTGAGGGCCGAGACCGCCGATGACGACCGTGACGAAGGCGTCTTCTGAAATTGAACCTCCACATCGAAGGAGCCTGTCGCGCAGTTCGCGGCAGCGACTGATATACTCCATGCCTTTCTCGCCTGGCTTCATTTCGATTGTTGTCAGCTGCGCCATTAACCGGCTTTGGTTTACACTGTGTGTTGCTTGATACAGGTTCTTCAGATGGTTGTACGCGAGCTCCGCGGAGTTGTCGTAGCCTCGGTAAGGCCTAATGTTCTGCTGTTGGGTCGGGGTAATGTTCCTCAGTAGTATAGTGTACGCCATCATTACTTGATAAGTATACTGCTGCTTCTCATACTGTGTGCCGTTTGTTGGATATGGCAGGGACCCGTCGAAGAAGCCAAGGATTTGCGCTCCTTCCGTCATCAGCTCGAATTCGAAAGATCAGGTGAAGAAGTCTTTTCCGTCAAAGGGCTTTGTCGTTTGCAGCTTTAAAACGTGCGCGAATTGGGACTGAACTTGTAATGCGTCTAGTGCTCTCTCTTGTCCCGGTGCAGGTTGTGGTTGCGGCATAAAGCTGACGGAGCCACGCTGGGGCTCGTACGGAGCAAAGGTGGGTTGTTGATGTTGATTCCCGCGCGCGTAGGATGAGCCATCGAGACTCATAGGCGTCACGTTGTTGTTGTTGTTGCAGTTGTTTGATTGCGCAGGTGCTCCTTGCTGGTGCTGCTCGTAGAAGGACATGAAGGAGAAAAATTTCTCCATCATGCTTAGATTGAAGCCCGCGCCTTGGTTTGCGGGTGTTTCCGTAGACCCAGCTGCTGGTCTCGTCGTTGTCCCCTCCTCTGTCAGTAGGCCAGAGGCAGATGGTGGAGTAGGGGTAGTACCGGGAGAGCCGTTGGAGGAGCTCCTCTCCTTTCTAGCAGACATGTCTTCTTTGATGTACTGAGTGTTGAATAATGAATTTTAACTCTAACTGCTCTCATACCATGTTGGGCTGAAACGCCCTAGGATCTTTGTAGAGTTAAAGTCTGAGTAGATGTTGTAATAGCGGAAGCGTTGAATAAAGCTCTTGAACCACCTTGCGCTAGTATGTGAGGGCAAAGTAAGTTGATAAAAGCAGAGAGATACAAGAATATAAATAGATGAGTACAGAGAATATGAAGAGACATTATAACTAATTTTACTGTTGCGGTTCGATACAGTGCGACTCGGACAACTGCTCAATGTCGAGTCAGTTGTTTGTCCTTGCTGTCGCGCTGCGTCAGGTCAAAGGTCGCTGCCCTTTGACTTTCCCGTAACCTCCGACGGTTACGTTAACCTCGTTGGTTGACTCGCGCTGCTTCGACTTGAGCTGCTTCGTTTTGTGTCTTGAGTACTGACACGACAGAGGCGCTTAACTTATTTGTTCCCAACAATATCCTGACATACGGTACAACGTCTAATACGTATGCATAATCATGTCATAGGGTGGTAAAGAGGATAGTGGTCTTGGAGACCAAAGTTCATCCCAAGGCAAGCGCCAAATCCTGGTGGCCTCTGCTGCGGTCCCCTTAGCCCACTATTTTTTTAGGTGCCTCATAGTAGTACTTTATGTGGGAGGAAGGTTGACAAGAGGATAGTGGTCTTGGAGACCAAAGTTCATTCCAGGGCAAGCGCCAAATCCTGGTGGCCTCTGATGTGGCCGGCTTATCCCGCTGCGATTGTAGTCCCACCTGCACCCGCTCTGCAAGGAATAGAGGAGAGGAGAGGGAAGGGGAAGGGAAGGACCATCACAGGTGTCTTCTGAGGCACCTCAGAAGTAGTCTCACCTACACCCACTCTGCGGAGGAGAAGGAAAACGGGAGGGGAGGAGGGGAGGGGAGGGGAGGGGAGGGGAGGGGAGGGGAGGGGAGGGGAGGGGAAGGGAGGGGAGGGGAAGGGAGGGGAGGGGAAGGGAGGGGAGGGGAAGGGAGAGGAGGGGAAGGGAGAGGAGGGGAAGGGCCACGACATGTGTCTTTTGAGGTACCTCACAAGTAGTTCCCACCACACCTGCTCTGCAGAGGAACAATGGAAAGGGGAGCGGAGGAAAGGGAAAGTTTTGCGAGGTACCTCTTGAAACACCCACTCTGCAAGCTGCGTGCGGATCAGATCACAATTTACATACAAACCCCACGCTTTGTAATGTTTCAAAACACCTCTGGAGGTACTGGAGGCCTTTTGAGGCACCTCAAAAGGTGCATGCGGATCAGATCACAATTCACACACAAACCCCACGCTTCGTAACGTCTCAAAACACGTCTGGAGGTACTGGAGGCCCTGAGACACAGACGCAGACCCCCCGATGTTGCACCAGTTCGCTCCACGCATCGTGGTCACTATCACTGACGCCCCCCAGAGTGTCGCACTGGAGCTCCCACGGTGTTGCACTCGTCCACCACACCACACCGCACCACACCACACCACACCACACAACACCACACCACACCACACCAGACCACGCCCAATCTCACTCACCTGCCCAATGTGTTAGAAGAGAGAATTGATGCACTGAATAATGAGCCAAAAGGCTCTTTAGTACAAGCAATGAGCAAGGGAGAGATGATAGGGAAGCTTACCCTATTGGCCAATAAGTTGGCCAATGGGTGAGCTTGCTTGTGGCCCAAGCAACCACAAAATGTGTGTTGGTTGGGATTGGTTGAGGTAAGGACCAATCCCCACCAGCCACAAAATGTGGTTGGAGGGTACACTAACCAACCCCCCAATTTATAAGAGTGCTACACATCTAAGTCTAACCTATGCATGTTGTATAAAATCTGGAATTACAACACAATGCTCACCATACGCCTGATTCACCCAACCACCACTCACGAAGCGCACAGGAGCCCCCAGAGTGTCACATGGCTCGGAGGACACGCGCTCACACACAGGCCCCGTGGAGTTGCGCCAGTCGATCCCGCGCATCTTGATGACTGTGATGTCCGTTGTACACCACACCCCCCCTCCCTGACTCCCCCTACCACCACTACCACTCTCATATTTCACTGGAGCCCCCAGGCTGTCACAGGGCTCCGAGGAGACTCTCTCACACGGGCCCCGTGGAGTTGCGCCAGTCTACCCCGCGCATCTTGATCACTGTGATTGCCATTGAATACCACACCACACCCCTTCTCACTCGCCCACACCTCCCTCCCACTCGCTTGCCCACCATACCCAACCAGCTCTCACATATTTCACTGGCGCCCCCAGGGTGTCACAGGGCTCAGAGGAGACTCTCTCGCACACGGGCCCCGTGGAGTTGCGCCAGTCTATCCCGCGCATCTTGATGACTGTGATGGCCATTGAATACGCCTCCGTGCCCGCCAGGCCCACTGCTGTGCGGCCGAACGATGAGATGTGTGTTATCAGCAGCCGGTCACTGATTGGGGAGGAGAAAAAGCAGGGGAAAACCAGAGGAGGCAGGAACGACAGGACTATGATGTGATGTGATGTGATGTGATGTGAGGTGAGGTGAGGTGAGGTGAGGTGGGATGGGTTGGGATGGGATGGGATGGGATGGGATGGGATGGGATGGGATGGGATGGGATGGGATGGGATGGGATGGGATGGGATGGGATGAGATGGGATGGGATGGGATGAGATGAGATGAGATGAGATGCGATGCGATGCGATGTGATGTGATCCGATGCGGTGTTGATGAGTTGAGATGGGGTACCTGAAGCTGAGAATCCACATATCCATCACAGAATCTACCAGCTGCTGTTTCCTCCACGTTGCCCTGTTGCCTTCAAGCCTTGCACAACATTCAACCACTCAATGTGATGTGATGTGATGTGTGGATGAGGAGATGTGTGGTGTACCTGAAGCTGAGAATCCACATGTCCATCACCGCATCGATCAGCTGCTGCTCCTGCCTCGTCTCCCTCCCCTCGTTGGTCAGCCTGCATGGCAGGCATGGCACGGGCAGCAGCGCAGGCACGCGCAACAGAGCAGAGAGGTCGGCACAACACACCAAAGAGGGGTTTAAATGTTCTGAATGCACTCTTTTTTCCCTCACCACGCTTCCAACCAGAGAGGCTTGCCCTATACCTGGGTTAGGGTGAACTTCGCGCACACTACCTTCCAGAACTAAGCCTAAGGTGATGAACTCCGCGCACACTACCTACCAGAACTAAGCCTAAGGTGATGAACTCCGCGCACACTACCTACCAGAACTAAGCCTAAGGTGATGACCTCCGTGCACACTACCTACCAGAACTAAGCCTAAGGTGATGAACTCCGCGCACACTACCTACCAGAACTAAGCCAAAGGTGATGAACTCCTCGCACACTACCTACCAGAACTAAGCCTAAGGTGATGAACTCCGCGCACTCTACCTACCAGAACTAAGCCTAAGGTGATGAACTCCGCGCACACAACCTACCAGAACTAAGCCTAAGGTGATGAACTCCGCGCACACTACCTACCAGAAATAAGCCTAAGGTGATGAACTCCGCACACACTACCTACCAGAACTAAGCCTAAGGTGATGAACTCCGCGCACACTACCTACCAGAACTAAGCCTAAGGTGATGAACTCCGCGCACACTACCTACCAGAACTAAGCCAAAGGTGATGAACTCCTCGCACACTACCTACCAGAACTAAGCCTAAGGTGATGACCTCCGCGCACACTACCTACCAGAACTAAGCCTAAGGTGATGAACTCCTCGCACACTACCTACCAGAAGTAAGCCTAAGGTGATGACCTCCGCGCACACTACCTACCAGAACTAAGCCTAAGGTGATGAACTCCGCGCACACTACCTACCAGAACTAAGCCTAAGGTGATGAACTCCGCGCACACTACCTACCAGAACTAAGCCTAAGGTGATGAACTCCTCGCACACTACCTACCAGAACTAAGCCTAAGGTGATGAACTCCGCGCACACTACCTACCAGAACTAAGCCTAAGGTGATGAGCTCCACGCACACTACCACCGCACTCCTGAGAGAGAAGGCACGCAGAAATCACAGCACAAGCACACACACAGAGCACTCACGACCAGAAGCTGACGAAGGTGTTGCCAATGGTGAGGTGCTGCGCATAGTGCGTTTCCAAATCCAGCATGTGCCGAATGTTCAGAGACGACACAAACACCCCCATCGTGCGGAACGACCGGTACGTCTCCACATCCCCGCCACCGTCGCCCGCCCCACCGCCCGGATAGCGTTGGGCCGGCGTGGCCATGGACGGATCCTCGGGGTACGGTTGGGTGGACGGCAGGTACTGTGCACGCACTGCGCACCGCAGAATGCGATTGGCCACTGGCAGATCGATGCCATCTGGGGAGCGGATCTGAGAGGTAGGAGCGGGTGGAGGGGGAGGGGGGGGGGGGGGTGGGAGGGGGGAGAGGTCCTCGGGATGAAGTGCTGTGTGACCAAAGATGCGATTGGCTACTGGCAGGTCTATGCCGTCTGGGGAGCGGATCTGGGGGGTAGGGGCGGGGGGAGGGGGGAGGGGTCCTCGGGGTAAGTGCTGTGCATGCACGGCGCACTCCAGAATGCGATTGGCCACTGGCAAGTCAATGCCGTCTGGGGAACGGATCTGGGGGGGAGAGGGGTGGGGATGGGGGAGGGGGGTTTATGATCGTACCTACCCCCCCCAAGGGTTGATAATCGTACCTGCACCCCCAGGCGGTGGGGGTAGTGGCCGAGGTTAGCAAGAAACGTGTGGGCGATTTTGACCCACAGGCGGTTGTTGTCAGTACCTGCGGCCACAGACACTTTGGACCGTACCTACACCCCCAAGGGTTTCTGATCATACCTGCACCCCCAGGCGGTGGGGGTAGTGGCCGAGGTTAGCGAGGAACGTGTGGGTGATTTTGGCCCACAGGCGGTTGTCAGGGTGCATGAGGAAGCGAGCCACGTGTGTGAACACACGGCGGTCGGGGAACAGCTCGTGCAGGCGGTCCTGAGAGGCGGGGATGGTAAGGGTGTTGACATGGGTGAGAGTGCAATGGGAATGCGATGACAGTGCAGTGGGTGCAGTGGGTGCAATGGGTGCAATGGGTGCAGTGGGTGCATGAGGAAGCGAGCCACGTGTGTGAACACACTATGGTCTGGAAGCAGGTCGTGCAGCCGCAGCTGGTCCTGAGAGAGGGAGAAAGCGGGCGGTTGTATGGGGTTCCAATGGGTGCAGTGGGAATGCGATGGGTGCATGAGAAAGCAAGCCACGTTGGTGAATACGCGGCAGTCAGGAACAGCTCGTGCAAATTACCCTAAGAGGAGGGGATGATAAGGGTGTTGGTATGGGGTTGCACTGGGTGTGATGGGAGTGTAGTGGATGCGTGAGGACGCGAGCCATGAGAAGTGCAGTGAACACATTGCGGCCAGATGTGCTTATAGACAGTGAGGTACAACCAGATATGCTTACAGTGAAGAGCAGCCAGATGTGCTTAAAGTGAAGTGCAACCAGATGTGCTTACAGTGAAGTGCAACCAGATGTGCTTACAGTGAAGTGCAACCAGATGTGCTTACAGTGAAGTGCAACCAGATGTGCTTACAGTGAAGTGCAACCAGATGTGCTTACAGTGAAGTGCAACCAGATGTGCTTACGGTGAAATGCAAAAATCTTGCTCACAGCATAGCTCTGAATGTAGTAGAGGCTGGGGAGGAAATAGACGTCAATGCTGGTAAACCAGAAGGGGGCATGGATGTGCTTAAAACGATGTGTGCTAGCGAAGTGCATGCTCACAGCATAGCTCTTAATGTAGTAGAGGCTGGGGAGGCAGTAGGTGTCAAAGCTGGTGAACCAGAAGGGGGCGAGGTCAGCTGTCGTCCAGACGACGTCACAGAACTGGTTGAGAACCCTGCCGGGCGGCAGACACACACACACACACACACACACACACACACACACACACACACACACACGCACACGCACACACACACACACACACACATACTCGGGAATAGACGGAAAGAAGGGGAGAGAGAGAGAGAGTTGAAAAGGAACTGGAATGTAATGACTTGCCTAACCAGCACCCCCACCTAATGCTGACAGCTAGAGAAACACGCGTCCTAGACTGCATGCAACAGAGTCTATTTTCGAGTGGACTCAAGAATAGATTCCAACGCACCTCCTGGGCTGCATGCCGCAGGCCAAGCATGGGAAGGGAGAGAAGGCCTACGGAGGCAAGATTGCTGGCAAGGCAAGGCAGTAGCGGTTCTATCATCTGAAAGGCTTGGTGAATGCAAGGGTTCAGCAAGGCTGCAGTCGAATGTAATGTGCGCAGCAAGAGGAGGAGCCGCCTTATGCTTTGAATGCAATGTGCACAGCAGCAGCAAGAGGAGCTGATCTGTGCATCGCTGGAGCAGGAAAAGGAGGACGTAGTGGCGACGCTCTTGGTGCTTGGTGCGATCACGGAGAACGTGGTCCGTGGTATGGTATGATGGATGGTGGTATGGCATGATGGATGATGGTGGTATGGTATGATGGATGGTGGTATGGCATGATGGATGGTGGTATGGTATGATGGATGGTGGTATGGCATGATGGATGGTGGTATGGCATGATGGATGGTGGTATGGCATGATGGATGGTGGTATGGCATGATGGATGGTGGTATGGCATGATGGATGGTGGTATGGCATGATGGATGGTGGTATGGCATGATGGATGGTGGTATGGCATGACGGATGGTGGTATGGCATGATGGATGGTGGTATGGCATGATGGATGGTGGTATGGCATGACGGATGGTGGTATGGCATGATGGATGGTGGTATGGCATGATGGATGGTGGTATGGCATGATGGATGGTGGTATGGCATGATGGAAGGTGACATAGATGACATAGATAATATGGAGAACGCTAATATAAATGGAGAGCGGTTTTTGAGGCGCCTCAAAAACCACCTCAATGCACGCTAATATAAATGGAGAGCGCACTCACACATGTGTGGTGCAGAGGTGCGACATGGACCCCTTACTTTTGAGGCGCCTCAAAAGTCATCACATGTGCGGTGCAGTGCAGTGCAGAGGTGCAACCACGTGGACCCCTTATTCACAATGTCCCTCTCCAGCCAGCTCGTCGAACCAACAGCATCCACCATTTTGAATTGAAAAAAGCAAGCAAACAAACGAACAAACAAACAAAGAACAACGTGAACTGAACCGTCCCCTCACCTGTAGTGAAGGTCGATCCACACAGAGCCGTTCTGCGCCACTTCTCCCTCCAGATGCCGCGTTGCCGCCGGCACGCGCTTCCACATCGATGCTTTCTTCAGCCGCTCCGCCATGTCTGACAGATGCAGCCGTGGATTAGGCACCGCGGCCGCCAGCAGCACACTGGGATGGGGTGGGGAGGAGGGCGAAGCAAAGGGTCTGGAGCAGCAGTAGCAAACCCACTTCCTTGCAAACCGATGGGTGTGCTGCATGCAACCGTTCGGCCATATCCGCCAGACGAATCTGTGGTCTTGCCACTGCGGCCGCCAGCAGCAGACTGGGGTGGGGTGGGGAGGAGGGCAAAGCTAAGGGTCTGGAGCAGCAGTAACATGAGAAAGTTGATTTGGGCAAGATGGGAGAGCGATGGGGTGAGAAGGCGACTGCTTTGTGCCAGCCCCTGGCCTCCCCGGACGCACCCGCTTCCTTGCAGCTGCTGCATTCATGGATTTGGCATTCAGCCTGCAGGAGATGCAAGGGGGTGGAGCGGGGTGGAGAGGAGTGGGGTGTGGTGGGGTGGGGAGGAGGGTGGAGCAATGCATCTAGAGCAATAAATCCTCCCTCGTATACAGCCAGCCAGCACAAGCCCAAAGCGTCCACAGCCGACCCAAGCCTCACACATACACAGCCAAACCAAGCCTCACCCATACACAGCCGAACCAAGCCTCACCCATACACAGCCAAACCAAGCCTCACCCATACACAGCCGAACCAAGCCTTACTCGTATACAGCCGGTTGGACGGTCCAGGAGGTGTTGGCGCGGGCAAAGGGGTTGCAGAAGCGGCGGGTGAGGAATCCGTTGGGCGGCGCAATGATGACACGGTTGGTGAGCAGGCCGAGCACAAAGGAGGTCACGTACGATACGATTCGATTGCCCACTCCTGAGGTTTGGGGTTTGAAGGTGTAAGGTTTAAGGGTGAGTGCCAATCAAGGGGAAGGCGGATTGGTTGGTGAGCAGGCCGAGCACAAAGGAGATCACATACGATACGATTCGATTACCCACTCCTGAGGGGTGCGCGGGTGGTGAGGGGAAGGCGGATTGGTTGGTGAGCAGGATATGACGAAACCTTTTGGATCCTGACATGCATCTGACATGCATCTGACATGCATCTGACATGCATCTGACATGCATCTGACATGCATCTGACGTGCATCTGACGTGCATCTGACGTGCATCTGACGTGCACAAAGTGGAAGGCAGAGATCAGATCGGTTGCGGTGAAAGGGCGAAAGACAACGGCGAAAGACAAGCGCAAAAGACAAGGGCAAAAGACAAGGGCAAAAGACACGCTCACCACGACTCAGGTCGTGAATCGCAAGGTAGCAGCACTGCTGCGCGTCCTGTACGGCCCATATCGCAGCACCCCTTGGTCATTGGAGAGTCAGAGAGGGAGGAGTTTGTAGCTGACTCATATATCTGCCCCTCAAGCACTCACCACGACTCAGGTCGTAAAACCACAACGTAGCGGCACGGCTTCCTCGTGAAACAAGTAAGTCTTAGTTTTTGAGACGTCTCAAAAGCTTACTTGTTTCATGTGCCTCAAGCACTCACCTCGGCTCAGGTCGTGAATCATAATGTAGCGGCACGGCTTCCTGTCCGGCCCGTACCGTGGCACCCCTTGGTCCCTGGAGATTGAGAGGAGGGGGGGTGGGGGGAGCGAAGAGAGGAGGAGGGTTGCCAGAGAGGGTTGCCAGAGAGGGTTGCCAGAAAAGGTTGCCTGACAGGGTTGCCTGACAGGGTTGCCTGACAGGGTTGCCTGACAGGGTTGCCTGACAGGGTTGCCTGACAGGGTTGCCTGACAGGGTTGCCTGACAGGGTTGCCTGACAGGGTTGCCTGACAGGTTTGCCTGACAGGTTTGCCTGACAGGGTTGCCAGACAGGGTTGCCTGTCCGGCCCGCGCCATGTGCACCCCTGGCCTCTGGAGAATGAGAGAGGTGGTGAGGGGAGGAAAGGGGAGCAAAGGAGAGGAGGAGCCAGCATGGGGAGAGACTTCCGAAGCCAAGGGCACCCTTTAAACCCTAGAGCAGTGCGGTGAGGTGTGGGGAGGGGAGGGGTTATGGGGAGGGACATTGCCCAAAGCAAAGGGATGCCTACTGGAGAGGCAACACTCAGTGACTGGAGAGCGAGAGAGGCAACGGGAGAAGGGAGACGGACAGATGAAAAAACTGGAAGGAAGAGTAGGAAGAGAGGGTGGCAGTGCAGAGGGGAGAGAGGATGGTTGTGAGTGGAGGTTGGAGAGCCGAGCTGGAGGGAAGTTGGGAGGGTGGAAGGATGGGGATGATGGGGATGGTGGGGAGGGTGGGGAGGGTAGGGGGGGTAAGGAAAGTGTGGGGAGTGTGGACAGGGGAGGAGGTGTGGGGAGTGTGGACAGGGGAGGAGGGGAAGGCAACAAGAGAGGCATAAGAGAGGCAAAAGATGGTTACCCGAACCTGGTTACATGGTTACGCGAACCTGGTTACATGGTTACGCAAATCTGGTTACATGGTTGCATAAAAGGCGCACTTCCACAGACGCGTCACGCAAGCACGGATATCAAAACACCCCTTCCTTACAGACGCTTACATCCTTTATGAGACTCTCAGAAGCTAAAACCCAGCCCACCACGCACCAGTCTTTCCTGTTGCGCACCCACTGCCAGCCCTCCACCCTGCCTTGGCTCACGCACTCCCTCTGCATCGCCTCAAACGCCACCACGGCATCCACAAACGCCTGTGATGGGTGTGACTGGTCTGCCTGCGAGAGACACACACGGGGTAATAGAGGGGACCAGGGGGATTGTGGCATATGTGTGAGTCGACTGTCGACTGAGAGAGTTCCTCCATCCCCCCTTCCCATCCTGGCTCACTCTCACACACTCCCTCTGCATCGCCTCAAACGCCACCACGCCGCCACAAACGCCTGTGAGGAGGGGGGCTGGTCCGCCTGTGCGGAGGGGGGCTGGTCCGCCTGTGCGGAGGGGGCCTGGTCCGCCTGTGCGGAGGGGGCCTGGTCCGCCTGTGAAGAGGGGGGCTGGTCCGCCTGTGCGCCACATACGGGGGAGTGGAGAGAAGCAGCGGGCGAGAAAGACACGTGGTAAACATAGTATTAAACGGACACGTGGTAAACATAGTATTAAACGGACACGTGGTAAACAGCAAACGGGCACGGACGTGCATGGTATGTGCTACCCTTCCCACCATGCCGTATACACTACACATGCCCCTCCCACACCGTATGCTACACATGCCCCCCCAAACGTACCATGTGCAACACACGCCCCTCCCATACACAACTAGAGCAACACACGCCCCTCCCATACACAACTAGAGCAACACACCCCCTCCCATACACAACTAGAGCAACACACGCCCCTCCCATACACAACTAGAGCAACACACGCCCCTCCCATACACAACTAGAGCAACACACGCCCCTCCCATACACCACTAGAGCAACACACGCCCCTCCCATACACAACTAGAGCAACACACCCCCTCCCATACACAACTAGAGCAACACACGCCCCTCCCATACACAACTAGAGCAACACACGCCCCTCCCACACACAACTAGAGCAACACACGCCCCTCCCATACACAACTAGAGCAACACACGCCCCTCCCATACACAACTAGAGCAACACACCCCCTCCCATACACAACTAGAGCAACACACGCCCTCCCATACACAACTAGAGCAACACACGCCCCTCCCACACACAACTAGAGCAACACACGCCCCTCCCACACACAACTAGAGCAACACACGCCCCTCCCACACACAACTAGAGCAACACACGCCCCTCCCACACACACCGTGTGCAACACACGCTCCTCACACACGCACCGTGTGGTACAGATGCCGCTCCTGCTGGCTCCAGCACGCGTCAGGTGTGCGGTAGCGCATGTGATGCCACGCAGCCCTGGCGTTGAATCTGGACGGCGGATCCGGCAGCTCAAACACTCCCTTGAACTTCCCGTTGCTCGCCCTGCCGCTTTCGCCGTTACCGCTGCCACTGTCGCCGCTGTCGCCGGTGCCGCTGCCGCCACTGCCACTCTCACCAGCGTTGCTTAACCCATTCCCCGCATCCCCGGCATAACCCCCAATGAAGTCCGCCAGTCCTGACGCTGCGCCGTCTCCTGCGTCGCCCCCGCTTCCTGCGCCATCCCCGCCTCCTGCACCGCCTATCTGCGCATCCTTTTCGTCAGAAACAGCGCAAGGGGGGGGGGGGGGGGGGGGGTGGGGGGAATGTCCGGAGGGAGAGTGAAGGGTGGGGGGAACGTTGGGAGGGGGTAACGTGGGAAGGGGGGAACGTCGGGAGGAGGGGACGTGGGGAGGGGGGAACATTCAAAGTGGGGGAGGGAAGGGGAAATGTGGGAAGGAGGAGAAGGGAAGAGGGAATGTGAGATTTAGGGAAAGGGGAATGGGAATAGGGGTCCGAGAGATGCGACGGGTGATGCTAGATTCGGCCCGGAAGTTGCGGGGAGAGGAGAGCCGCGTCAACGGCAGGGCAGGTGCAAGCTCGGGGGTAAGGGTGTGAGGCGCATGGTAGGCGGAAGCTGCAGGGATGGGAGAGTGTGAGCCACAGGACAAGACAGCCTGTGGGAAAAGGCTGGAAACGTTGGGCTTCTTTTAACGTCAAATAGCCTGATTCCGCCAGAGGATCGGCATCGGCAGGCCTGGGAACTGAAGATGGGGGTGTTCGTGTGAGGAATATTCTAAACGCGGGGCAGCGTTCGCTAAATTATGAGTTCTTGAATTAGCCATAGTCGCTGCGTGAACTTCCAAAATAAAAAAGAAGAAAACAAACAAAACAAAATAAAACAAAACAACTTGTATGATTGACTCATCTTTAGTTAGAATGCCTAAGGTGAGTGAAAGCACATCCAGCGTCTAGTATCCTCCATAGACACACGGTAGCGAGTAGCCTCGTACCTGGGATCGCGATGCTGGTAACCAGGCGAGCGACAGTAACAAGAGGAGAAACGCAGACGTCACGAACACGCCTAGCGGTCGACGAACTGCTCTCCACCGTTGCAAACCGACTTCGAACATTCTAGCTAGCAGTGCTATTTAGGAGCTGCGGGTAACTGCTCGTGAGGCCGAGCAGCAATAGAGGATCTACGGGTCACCGCTGATAAATACGATATGTGCTAGTGAATCTGCATTTGTATATTCGTCAGTCAACGCAGCTGCTGAACGTCAGTCGATCTTGAGATGTCGACGCACCATCTCACTTGATGGCACATGGAGGAACGGAACCCCAGTAGGGCAATTACGTCTAGTTACCGAATAGGGTTTCTCACCTACGACGGCACAATCGACTCACTTATACGATGCGAGTGGCAATTTCTTATCCAAGAAAATTATCGCACTGAAAAGGTGTGAACGGGGAACCCCGGTAGCGTACCCACTACCGACTACAAGATAACGAGCAGGGTTCCTAACGCACGACTGCACAATCGACTCGCATATACGATGCGAGTGGCAATCTGCTGTCCAAGATGGTCGTCACTGAAAAGGCATGAACGGAAACCCCATAGCGTACTCCCTACGGACTACAAATTAACGAGCAGGGTTCCTCACGCATCGACTCGTTTGTACGATGCAAATGGTAACTTTATCCAGAGCGCAAACGGTGTTTAACATGCTACTGTACGAGATTGTAAATCTCGTGGATACGAACCAAACGCCGTCTGCGACGCGAGAGGAGCCTGCAACCTAAAACGCGCGAATCAAGGATGAGCAAATGCTGCTCATAATGCCACACAAAGAATGTGACTTCAGTGCCGTGTGCGTGCCGTGTCCGTAACTTATGGAGAGGGTGGGTGGAAAGTTGCCCATGATCTGATAAGTGTGGTTTGAAAAACCGCTTTGGGTTTCCCGCGCGTTTCGCCCACTCTGACTGGCACACACAACGCAGTGCCTTGGGATTGGTAGCGCATCGTGTCAGGTATCGGCGACGTGAGCACTACGACGGGAGCACAACGTAACAACTGTACTCAAGGGAACCTGGTTGTCGTTTAGGAAAGAATACATGCTGTTATGAGTTGTAAAAGAGAGTGCGGGAATAACGAATAAAGAAGATGTGACTAAATGAACTGAGAATACAATGAAGGCACAGACTAATGTAGGAGCTAGCCTAGCTAGGAGGGAACCTCGGACGAGCGAGGTTGGGTGCAGGTTTGGCGATGGGAAATGCTGAAGGCGACGCGAGGAGCCTCGGCAGCGTTGAGATCGGCCGAACGTGTAAAGTCCGAAAGTCGGGGCTGTACGTGAAGCAGTCAACCCCGATAAGGAATTCGGGAAAAATCCTTACACTACCCTCCCCCCCTCTTAAGAAAGGTGGTCAATATCCGGAACACGCTTGCGCGTCAGGTAATCACCAACAAGAGGTGAGGCGCCCAGCGAGGCGGATGGCACCCTCGTGTCGTCTTCACTTGTGCGATCAGTCCAACGGATGAGGAAATCCACGTGGCGACCAGCTGCGTCAAGGCGAACCCGATGTGCCTGAATCTTCTATGTGTCAAGAGTCGGCTCCGGGACAGGTCGTGCTGTTGGGGCAGCATTTTGTCGCGCGATGTCTGTCGTGGCTGGCACGAACTTTCGAAGCAGGCTGACGTGGAAGGTGTCATGGATGCGCCAGTTATCGGGTAGCAACAGCTTCGCGGTGACAAGTGTCACCATCTTGATAATCTTGACAGGCCCACAAAATCGGGGCCGAAGTTTCGATGCGCCAGGCAGATACAGATTCTTCGTGTCAAGTAGCTTTAGTTGCCTAGCTGCCAAGGCGAGTTCCCGTCGTAGGAGGTCGGTGTATTTTCGGGAAGTGATATTCGCCTTGCGAATTGCGTCCGCAGCCTTTTCCCGAACTTCCTGAAGTTTCGTCACAAATGTTTGTGACCTCGGGACCGGGTTGTCGAGTGTAGTCGCTGTAGGCACCGTCGGGTCCATCTCGTAATTAAGGAAAAACGGGGAGTGATTAGTCGTGCTGGACGGAGCGTTCTTGAATGCAAACTCCAGCATGGCGAGTGAGTCTTCCCAGCGAGCAAGGTCGGGGCAGTTTGTCCTAATTAGGTGCTCCATGGTCTGATTGGTCCGCTTGGTCTGGCCGTCCGTTTGCGGGTGGTATGCTGAGGAGAACCGTAGTTTCGTGCCGTACTGTGCCCACTGTGAAGATAGGTAAGCAGGAATGAGATGAACTATGAATGAAAGTGGTACAAATATGAAACCCTAACTGGGTTGTACCCCCTATGGGATACCCCACTACAGCCTACACAGCAGTATAAGCTATAGATATGTTCTGACACACCCCCATAGGCAAAGTGGGGGAGAACAAGGGGTCACAAGACCAGTCAAGCAAGACAAAGCAAAGCTCAGGGTGGATCACAAAGTCACCACACAGTCCGAGCACAAGAGCAAGGCCAAAGGCCAGTTCACAAGCAAGAGTACAGACATATATATAAAGCTAGACAAGCAAGAGCAGGTATATATATATGTCACAGTACAAGTGAAGTCAAGAGGAGAGCAAGTGAGGCAAGACAGGCACAAGACCCAGCTGGGTGCAGAAGCGCTGATGGTCACAAGGCGCAAGTGCCTTGGTGAACACATCAGCAGTGTTGGCCTCAGAGGCCACGTACGCAAGTCGCAACTGACCACGCTGCTGCAGCTCACGAGCAAGGAAGTAGCGGAGAGCAATGTGCTTCGTTCTGTGCTCCAAGCGCTGCTCTCGACACAAGGCCAGCATAGCCTTGTTGTCTACGTACAGCACTGGAGGAGAACGAGGCGGCTCTCCAAGGTCAGTCAGCAGGTAGGTGAGCCAGCGAAGCTCCTGTGCAGCCATGGCCCCGGCGTAGATCTCAGCCTCACAACTGGAGCCGAGAACCGAAGACGAGCGAGTAGACCGCCACGAGACAGAGCCGGAACCAAGGCTGAAGGTGTAACCCTGTGACGACCGCTGCGTAGCCTGGTCGTCAGCCCAAGAAGCGTCCGCGTGGCCGGTAAGGACCACTGGACTCCGCCCTCCAAGCACTAGCCCCATGCCTGACGTACTGCACAGGTAGCGCAATACCCTCTTCGCTGCAGCCATGTGCTCCGGTCTGTGTCTCCCAGGAGCAACATAGCGTGCAAGAATGCTCAGAGGGTATGCAAGGTCAGGTCGTGTGCAGGTCATCAGGTACATGAGGCAGCCAACAAGCTCCGCATACGGACCACTCGACTCTACGGACTCATCCGAAGGCAGAGCTGAGAGTGAGTGGCGAGTAGGCAGAGGAGTGGCCTGAGGCGAGGAGTACGTGAAGCCGAAGCGCTGAAGGACCTGCTGCACCATGTGTGACTGAGTCAAGGTAATGGTGCGGCGTGCTCTGTCCCGAGTGATCTGCAAGCCAAGGTAGCTGCGCAGTTCACCCAGGTCTGTGAACGTGTGTCTCTTCAACAGCTCGGACTTCACGTAGGCGAGTCCAGCAGTGTCCGCTGTAGCAAAGACCAGGTCGTCGACGTACACGAGGATGTAGAACGGCGGCAGGGAAGTGTCGGTGCGAAGAAACAGCGACGGGTCAGCAGTAGAAGGAGCAAACCCAAGAGCCGCAAGCGTAGTCCTCAGTGTGTCGTGCCACTCACGCGGTGCCTGGCGGAGACCGTAGACTGGCCGTCGGAGGCTCCACTGGGTGCCAGGAGGGAAAGTCCCAGTGAAGCCAGGTGGACGGCGAAGCCAGATCTCCTCGTGCAGGCTACCCTGCAAGAACGCAGTGCTGAAGTCGAGAGAGTGAAGCTCGTAGTCGCGCTGAGCGGCTATGTGCAGCAGCACCCGAAGAGTAGTCATCTTCGGGGTGGGAGAGAAGGTCTGAAAGTAGTCAACTCCCTGCCGCTGACTGAAGCCACGAGCAACGTACCGTGCCTTGAAGACAGGTGGAGAGCCCGGCGGCCGCTTCACCCTGAAGATCCACATGCCACTGACGATGTTCGCCCCAGGAGGGGGAACCGCGTCAACGTAGGTGCCTGTGGACTTCCAGGAAGCCATCTCTGCATCCATAGCTGCCTGCCACTGAGAGGAGTAGGGACCCTCTACGGCCTCCGCGTAAGAACGCGGAGTCGGGATGTCTAGTGCATCCGGGTCTCCCTCAGGGGCAAGCAGTACAGACGCGAGATGAGGTGAAGCAGCCGCTAGACACTGTAACTCCTCCTGCCTGTCCTCTAGGACGTCTGTGCCAAGAGCACACTCACCCCCGACGGACGGAGGACAGACAGACGCAGACTCAGCAACAAGACTAGCAGCGTAGTCGAGACGACAGCGAGCAGCAAAGTCGACGAGCTCAGTGACTAGAGCAGACGCAGCAGTGGACTCAAAAGAGGGGTCAGTGACGACAGTAGCAAGCAGACGCGTGACAGTGGGACTGGCAGCACGAAGAGAGTCCGACTCAGGGTCCGCAAGCGCAGGAAGAGAGGACTCAGGAGGAGAAGGCAAAGGGGCACGCAGAGGAGCAGTGGACGGACGTAAAGACATCCGGTGCGTGCCAGGGACAGGAGGAGGACGCTGACGCGAACTGCGACCACTAGCGCGAGCAGCACGAACAGGCGACGCGGGACGAGACGCAGGCTCACGACGCTCAGCAAGACCTCCAGTAGGACCAGTGTAAGGAGAGGGAGCAGGCAGTGGAGAGGAAGGCTCCAGCAGGGACTGCGACTGGACAGGCGGTGGACCCTCTACTAGAGGAGAAAGACCAAGAACCTGCTGCAGGAGCGGAACGAAGTACGGCCGAGGCCGCGCGGCAGCTCCAGACTCAGCAGGGACACCACCAGCACCCTCAGCGACAGCACCAGCGCCACCCACACCTCCAGCGGCAGGACCAACAGCAGCAGGCTCAGCACGAACGCCCTCAGCAGCTCCAGCTCCAGGAGGACCTGCAGGGCCAGCAGCTCCGGGACCGGCTGCACCCGCACCCTCGACGGTCGAAGAAGCTCCAGCTCCAGCTCCAGCAGCACCTCCAGACTCAGCAGCACGCCTCCAGCGGCGAGCGAACCACTCGCGCAGCTCCTGTGGAGAGAGGGGTTCCCGGCGAGACGCAGCAGCAGGAGAAACCCCAGGCTCAGCAGCTCCAGACGCAGCACCCCCAGGCTCAGCAGCTCCCAGCTCAGAACCCCCAGGCGCAGCAGCTCCCAGCTCAGCACCCCCCGGCCCAGTACCCCCAGGCTCCGCACCCACCGCAGTAGCACCCCCAGGCCCAGCACCCCCAGCAGTAGCACCCCCAGGCCCCGCACCCTCAGGGTCAGCACCCCCAGAGTCAGTACCCCCAGGCTCAGCACCCGCAGCAGCACCAGAGTCACCAGTAACCTCGACCGGGTCAACGGCGTCTACCTGGGACACACCTGAGGGGGCAGGAACCTGAGGGGGGAGGGGGTCGACCGGGGGGGGAACCGGCACAAGGAAGTCCGGGGGAGGGGGGAGGGAAGGAGTGCGGTAGGGGAAGAGACGGTAGAAGGGGACTGACTCGTCGAACGTGACGTCCTGGGAGGACAGAACACGACGAGAGGAGGGGTGGTAAAACTGCCACCCTGGGGCGTCAGTGGGGAAGCCAAGGAAGACACAGGGAGCAGCACGGGGGGACAGCTTGTCTGCAGACAAGTCGCGGACAAACGCCCGAGATCCCCAGACACGGAACACAGACGCATCGCCAACCTTCCCTGTCCACAGCAAGACTGGGGACATCGCAGGCCGAGAGACCCGGGGGTGAAGGTTGAGCTGATGCGCCGCGTACCTCACAGCAAACGGCCACAGAAAATGGGGGGCAGCCGCATGCATCATGGACGTACGAGCGACATCCATGACCATGCCAATGCGGCGCTCAGCAATCCCATTTTGCTGAGGGGAGTCCGGAAGCGTGAAGGTCTGGCGGATCCCCCGTGCACGACAGTAGTCTCGCAGAAGGCGAGAAGAGAACTCTCCGCCTCTGTCAGAGTGCAGACGCAGAACAGGAAAGTCCGAGCCGAAGCTCTTCCTGAGCTGGAGACGAGCCTCGCGGATCCAGTCGATCAGCACCTCAGTGACCGCACCCTTGCTGCGCAAGGGGAGGACTGTGGTATAACGCGAGTAGTCGTCAACCACTCACAGGAAGTAGCGCTCGTAACCCTGCCCACGGACGGGGGCTGGGCCCCACACATCCATGTGAAGCGTCTGCAGGGGAGCCTCTGTCGGGGGGAAGTGGGAGGAGTGAGGAGCAGCCCGGAGGCGACCCTCGACACAGGGGACACAGGAAGGTCCTGGCCCGGAGGGGAGAGGAGGGAGAGACTGGGGAAGACCAGAGACAAGGACACGGGAAGCCATGCTCCGAAGACGGGGCAAGGAGGGGTGACCAAGACAGTGGTGCCACAGGAGAGTCTCGTGAGACAGGAGGCGACAAGAACAGGGGGCAGACTCAGGACCTGACCGGGAAGCAGCAGCAAACACCTGACCTGACGCAGCTACTCGACCAGACGCAGGGACAGGAGGAGACGAAGTGGTCAGGGTGTAGAGACTCGACCCCGGCCGACGCGAGAACGTGGCCAGGTGTCGGCCTGTGTCTGCGTCCGTGCAGTGGGTCACCCGTCGCCTCGCAGGAGTGAACTGGTGAACCCCCGCATCCTGTAGGTCCGCACCACTCACCAAGTTCGTAGAGAACGAGGGAAGGTACAGACCAGACAGGGTGCCCGAAGGGGCAGCCGGACACGGGAGGACAGTGGAGAAGTGAGACAGGACAGGACCCCCAGAGGGGTCAGCAAGGGAGACCGCAACCGGCCGGCCAAGAGGCGTAAGGGTAGTGCGGTCTCGAAAGAAGGAGCGAGAAGCCCCAGAGTCAAGTGTGAAAGTGAGGGAGGACGAGGGCGACGCAGTACCTGAGAGCGCAGTCTCACCAGCACCTGAGAGCGCAGTCTCACTAGTACCTGAGAGCGCAGACGCACAGGCACCTAGAGCAGCAGCCTCACAAGTACCTAGCGCAGCAGTACCAATGCCCGGGTCGGGCTGGAAACACCGGTAACCCTCATTCTCCTCACTATAAGTCACAGCATACATAGCAGAAAGGATAGCATCAAAATCAAGATCAAAGATCGCTACACCAGCCCTAAGGAGCTCATCCCAGCGAGGGATCTCACTAGCCCCGGGGAACTGCTGACGCCAAGCGTCCGTGAGGCGGCCAAAGCAGCGCTGGGTGGAGTGGGCACACCCACACTGCTCACCCGCGCGGTCGCCGGAACGAAGAACGTAGGCGCAGGGACCAGTACCCCCACCCCTCTGACGCGCAGCGTACCACTCACGAAGCTGCTGAGGCGGAGGGATGTCCCGCGAACGCTGCTGCTGCTGCCGCTGCGAGCGCTGGGCACCACCACCGCCGCTCCGCTGCTGGGTACCACCACGACCAGCTCCACCTCCTCCACCACCACCGCCTCCTCCGCCGCCGCCTCCACTGCCTCCACCTCCACCGCCTCCGCTCCCGCTGCTGCCTCCACCACCACCGCTGGCACTACCACTACCGTCTCCGCCGCTGCCGCCACCACCACCACCACCACCACCACTACTCCCGCCTCCACCCCCACTCCCTCCGCCGCCTCCGCCGCCACCGCCACCGCCCCCTCCAGCTCCGCCCGCGCCCTTGCCGCCCTTGCCCTTGCTAGAGCGACGTCTCCCACTAGGGGCAGACGCCGCGCCGACCGACTCAAGACCAAGCAGGTCGGCCGCAGCAGCAGAGGCAACAGAGGGCAGCAAAGGGGAAGGAGAGCACCCCTCAAAGATGGGGGTGCGAGGGTCACCACGAGAGGCACCTACAGCGACTATGCTCTTCTCCGCTGCGAGGAGGGCCTTCTCGAGGAGGTCGACGGTGAGAGTGGTGGGACAGACTGCGAGAAAGTGGTCCCTGACTACGCGGAGGGAGTCAGGGAGGCGCGCGACTACGTAGTAGAGAGTGATGTACATGGGGGGGGGGTTCTTAGCGCAGAACTCAGCAGGAAGGGCGGCGCGGTAGCGAGTGTCACTAGTGCGGAGGTGCGTAATGAGGTCAGTGACAGTGGGAAAGACAGAGAGGTCAGGAAAGAGGTAGGGAAGCATGAGACGGCTCAGTGCAGCAGTGGCAGGGGAGGAGTAGCGCGCAACTACAGCGTCGTACAAGGTCTGAGCACTCTTGTACTGACTAAAGTGCGCACGCTCAGAGGTAGGGAGGTGGCGACGCACAGCAAGACGTGCAGCAGCATCGCGGGTGGCCCACTGAGAGCGGACAGTGGGATCAGCATCGGCAGCAGGAGCAGGAGAGGCGCCAGAGGTGAGGTCAAAGAGAGAAAGGCTGTCAGCTCTGTCGCACTGTAAGAAAAGCTGCAGGTCGTCTAGCCAGACCTCAAAATCAATGGCTCGACCCTCGGCGTCAAAGGCTAGGACACTAGGGGTGGCCATGATGACGACAGCGAAGCAGTGCAAGCAGTAGGGAAAGAGGGCGCAGTGACAGAGGGACTGTGCTCACCAGGCAGGGCAAGTCGTGCAGCTCAGCAGAAAGGCGGATCGACTCCCGGGCAGCTCGGCAGCTGTGGGGCGGCTCGGGTGCTGCTGGGCGGCTCGGCCGCTGCTGGGCGGTCCGGCTGCTGCTGGGCGGCTCGGCTGCTGCTGGGCGGCTCGGCTGCTGCTGGGCGGGCCGGCTGCAGTGCAGCGGCGGGGCCTGGACAGAGGCCGGCGGGGCCGGGACAGGTGCAGTGGCGGGCCGGGAAAGGTGCAGCGGCGGGCCGGGACAGGTGCAGCGGTGGGCCGGGACAGGTGCAGTGGCGGGCCGGGACAGGGGACGGCGGGGCCGGGTGTGCAGTGGCGGGGCCGTCAGGGTGCAGCGGCGGGCCGTCAGCAGGTACAGCGGCGGGCCGTCAGGGTGCAGCGGCGGGCCGTCAAAAGGTGCAGCGGCGGGCCGTCAGCAGGTACAGCGGCGGGCCGTCAGGGTGCAGCGGCGGGCCGTCAAAAGGTGCAGCGGCGGGCCGTCAAAAGGTGCAGCGGCAGGCCGTCAGGGCTCAGCGGCGGGCCGGGAAGGTGCAGCGGCGAGGCCGGGAGAGGGGACGGCGGGGCCGTGACAGGAAACGGCGGGGCCGGCAGAATGCAGCGGCGGGCCGTCAAAAAAGGGACGGCGGGGCCGTCAAAAACGGGGCCCGCGGCCGCGACGAAGCGGCCGCGTGGCCGATTCGAGGGCGGCGGGGCACAGCCGGGCCGAGAGGGCGGCGCGGCGCGGCCGTAAAGTCCGCGCGACGTGGGCCCGAGCCGCGCGCGCTAAAAAAAATTTTCGCGCGCTACTCGCGGGGGGCCCACAAAGGCAGCGGGAAATGCACTAAGGGGGGAGGGGGGGGGGGAGCGCGCCTCGGGGAGAGTAGGGCGCTCCGGGCAGAGAGAATATCGTGGGTGGGCCCAAAAAAAATCGGTCCTTAAGAGGGACCCGCTCTATACCATGTGAAGATAGGTAAGCAGGAATGAGATGAACTATGAATGAAAGTGGTACAAATATGAAACCCTAACTGGGTTGTACCCCCTATGGGATACCCCACTACAGCCTACACAGCAGTATAAGCTATAGATATGTTCTGACACCCACGTCTCCTTCCAGAATTTCGATGTGAACTTCGGGTCCCTGTCGCTAATGATCGCTGCGGGGATTCCGTGCAGTCGCACGACGGTCGAGATGAAGAGGCGCGCAGTTTCTTCGGCTGTGATTGTTGTACGACACGGCGGGAAGTGCGCCATTTTCGTGAGGCGATCAACGACGACGAGAACAGCGTCGTTGCCGGACGGCCTAGCTGGCATCCCCGTGGCGAAGTCCATCGTCATCTGTTGCCATGGTTGCCCAGGTGGCTCCAGGGGCTGCAGCAATCTAGGTGGCCGCTGACGTGTCGATTTCATGGCTTGGCACACCCAACATGAGGACACATTTTGCTGCACGTCGTTAGCAGAATCAGGCCAATAACAGTGACGGTGCAACAGGTTCCGGGTTTTATCAACCGCGAAATGTCCGGAGAGGTTAGAATCGTGGACCTCCTGGATAAGGACTTCACGCAGCAGCCGATAAGCGGGAACCCAAATCCGATCTGTTCCGACTTTTAAGTAATAGTTCCCCTTATACGTCGTCGCCTGCTGGTGGTTTCCAGTCGTGAAGAAAGGGTCCGTAGTATAGTCGTGGGTGAATAGTCTGTAAGTAGCGGGTTCCAATGGGTGATGAGTACTGCAGCGGATTGAACGGTCCGTCGGGTAAGGGCGTCAGGGATGTTATTCGCCCCTTTCTTGTACGTGATGTGGTAGGTGAAGTGGCTCTTCATGTAGTACAGCCACCGGATTTGTCGCGGGTTGAGGTTGGGCTAAGCTCGCAGGTACTGTAGGGACTTGTAGTCCGCGCGAACAGTGACGTCGGCGCCCACCAAGTAGCAGCGCCACAGTTTGAACGCCTGCATTATGGCGAGCATCTCCTTGTCATGTATCGGGTAGTTGCGCTCGGCTGACTGCAGCTTGCGTGACTCGTAGGCGATCGGCTGTTTTCGAAATCTTAAAGAAGCACAGCTCCGATGGCGAAATCTGACGCATCGGTGACGACTTCAAACGGCTTTGATGGGTCGGCGATGCGTAAAACCGGAAGGGAAACGAGAAAATTCTTCAACTCCTTAAAAGCCGCCTCAGCTTCCTCCCCCCACAAAAAAGTATTGTCCTTGTGCAACAAGTCGGTCAGCGGGCCGGTTATCCCTGCCATATTCGGGATAAACCGCCTGACGTACTTCACCAAGCCCAGAAAACTCTAAAGTTTCGTGATGTTAGTCGAGGACTTCCAATCATGAGGCCGAAAGGCATCACCGTGAATTCGTAACTCCCGTAGCGTGTGCGAAATGCAGTCTTGTGACAATCGTCGGCGAAGACTCGAATCTGGTGGTAACCGCCACGTAAGTCAAACTTCGAGAAATAGCGAGCGCCGCGAAGTTGGTCGAGGAGGTCGTCGGTTCGTGGGATTGGGTAGCGAGACTTGATGGTCACCTGATTCAGCGCGCGATAGTCAATGCACATGCGGAGCCCGCCGTCTTTCTTCGGAGTGAACATGATCGGTGCTGCGAAGGGAGATGTGCTTGCCCAGATGAATCCTTTCTCCAACAGTGCATCAATTTGACTTCGCAGCTCCTCGAGTTCCGGTTGGGTCAACCGCCGCTGTGTACGAACAGTCGGCTGCGTGCCAGGCTCCAGCTGAATTTTGTGGTCCTTGGGGCGTTCGGGTGGCAGTCCAGGTGGCAGATTGTCGGGGAAGATGTCCGGGTACTGTCGAATCAGCTTCACTAAATCAGGTGGTATAGCTGCGCACAGCTTCTCAATGTCCTTTCCGTCGGTGTCAGTTTCCAGCTCATGCAAACATACAGCAAACAGCTGCGTGCCTCGGTTGAAGTGGCGAGCTATAGTGATAGCTTTGACGCACGGGGCTTGGATGTAGTCAGGTGTCTATGCAGGCAATTTGATTAGCCCCTCGTGCTTGCTGATGTTGCACAATCCCGTTGTCCAGTCGATGACGAGGTTGTGCCGTCAATCACGTACCAGTAGCACGTCGCAGCCGTCCAACGTTGTCGCGAGAAACTTCATGCTGAAGCTGAAATCGTCGCTGCATTTTATCCCCACCGTCCGTGTTTCTTCCAAAATCGTCAGAGGCATCCCATCCACGAGGGGAGCGTCAATTTCAGGCAGACACCTATCAAGTTGCAGCTTGCATTTTTTTGCTGTCGCCAAGTTGAAGAGGCTATGGCTGGCCCCTCTGTCAACGAACATTTTCAAGTAATTTTCTAACACGTTGCCAACGACCAGCACAGGGTGATCCACATGGTTATCCCCATTATTCGGACGAGTGCGATCGATTGCATAAATTGAAACCATGACTCGGTGGGGATGATGGTGTTCGAGCGACAGAGCACAGCCAGTAAGGGGCCTGTCTGTTACTGACTCTTCCCATTTCCTGGCTCTTTTTCGTCGTTCCTCTTCGCCGGCATTCTCTCAGGGCAGCCTGCATATTTGTGACCTAGCTTCCCGCACTTATAACACAACCCGGTGTAGGGGCGGTCTGGTGCATGGACTCCGTTGCTCGTGGCCCGTTGGGTCTGGCCACAAAAACAGTTTCCCTCCCGGGAACTCGACCTCGCGTACTGCATCAGCGCGTCCGTAGATTCTGCCAACCGTGCTGCTTCTAGAAACGATGTCGGGCGGCATTGTTAGAAACTAACGAGCAGAAATGAATGAACTAGCAGCAAGATGGGTACAAGTAGGAAACCCTAATTGGGTTGTACCCCATATGGGCTACCCCACTATAGCCTACACAATAAGCAGCATATAAGTTTGATACACCCCCATAGGCAAAGTGGGGGAGAACTAGATGTCACAAGACCGGTCAAGAAAATAAAAGCAAGCTCAGGGTGGATCACGAAGTCACCACGCATTCTGAGCACAAGCAAATGGCCACAAGGCCAGTTCACATGCAGAGTTATATAAAAGAGAACAAGCAGTACAGTGATCACAACCTAGCAAGTGTAAGCATGCAGGTATAAGTATATAGATCTCAGTACAAGCAAAGTCAAGAAGTGAGCAAGTGAGGCCAAGTAGGCACAAGGCCTAGAACAGTACAGAAACGCTGATGGCCACAAGGCTGAAGTGCCTTGCTCAAGATATCAGCAGTGTTGGCCTGAGAGGCTATGTAAACAAGACAAAGCTGACCACGCTGCTGCAACTCTCGAACAAGGAAGCCGCGAAAAGCGATGTGCTTCGTTCTATGCTCCAGTTTGTGCTCCTTACACAAGGCAATCATGGCCTTGTTGTCAACGTACAGAACTGGAGGAGAAGGAGGCGGCTCTCCCAAGTCGGTCAGAAGGTAGGTGAGCCAGCGTAACTCCTGTGCAGCCATGGTCCCTGCGTAGACCTCAGCCTCACAACTGGAACTGAAAATAGAAGACGAGCGGGTAGACCGCCACGAAACAGAGCCGGAGCCAAGGCTGAAAGTGTAACCTTGTGACGACAGCTGCGTAGCCAAGTCGTCAACCCAAGAAGCGTCTGCGTGGCCAGTGAGGACAACTCGAGCCCGTCCTCCAAGCACGAGCCCCATGCCCGACGTACTGCACAAGTAGCGCATCACCCTCTTAGCGGCCTCTCAGTGCTCTGGTCGGTGTCTCCCAGGCGCAACGTAGCATGCCAGGATGCTAAGAGGGTAAGCAAGGTCAGGTCGAGTGCAGGTCATCAGGTACATGAGGCAGCCCATAAGCTCTGGATACGGGCCACTCAGCTCTACGGACTCATCCGAAGGCAGAGCTGAGAGCGAGTGACCGGTAGGCAGAGGAGTGGACTGTGGCAAGGAGTACGTGAAGCGGAAGCGCTGAAGGACGTGCTGCACCATGTGTGACTCAGTCAAGGTAATGGTGCGC